GTCAATGTGACCTTGACCTGACCTTGACGACGCCATCCAAGGTCAAACTGATAGAATCAGTATATAGATCTTCTTAAACCCTACAACTTTTGTTGGAAACACTTTTCTGTAAAACGTATATTTTCCGAGATATTTAGGGGTTTCCACACTTTTGGTAGACCCTGTATATATATATATATATAATATATACAGGGTTGGGCAAAAGTCCGGAAACGGTCAAATATCTCAAAAAGGATCAACTATAGCGAAAAATTGTAAATAGCAAAGTTGTAGGGCTTAAAAAAATGTACCTAATGATGACTAAAAATTTTACTTTGAGTGGAGGACGAAGATCATATAAAAGTCAAATTGAATTTTTTAAATGGAACTGTCTACTTTTTATTGCATATTCTTATAGCTGACCTCGAGAGCTTTCCAAAACACTATAATAAAATATTTTTCCCTCAAGCATTTATCGAGTTATGAGGCTTCAAATCATTTCTTAATTTTACATAAACCGTAAAATATCTTGTAAAATATTCACTTTTCGATTATTTTACCTTAATACTTTTATGTACAAAATAATGAGAGGAATCAATTGGTCTAAAAAAAAACACATAATTGTTCCGAAGAAAAAATATGTAATTTGCAATTAACAATTACATATTTTTTCTTCGGAACAATTATGTGTTTTTTTTTAGACTCTGTATATATATTATATATATATATATATATATATATATACATATATATATATGTGCAGTGTTGTGCAAGGTACTTTATTTTCAGTACCTACGTACAGCCCAGGTAGCAAGATGACGTCTAAAGACGTCTTAAAGACGTCTATGACGTCATTAAGACGTTATTAAGACGTCATTTGATGTCATTCTGCTACTAGGGAGGTACAGGTACTCTGAAAAAAATATACCGACGTACAGATACAGGTACTCTGCAAAAAATGTACCGAGGTAGAAATATTTCATATTATGAAATACCTCTGCCTCGGTACATTTTTTCCAGAGTACCTGTACCTGTACCTGTACCTCAGTGCTGAAAATAAAATACCTTGCACAACACTGTATATGTGTGTGTGTATATATATAAAAGAATCTAAAAAGAAAATAATACATGTTATATATATATATATATATAACATATATATATAACATGTATTGTTTTCTTTTTAGATTATTTTCTTTTTTTTGTTAGAGTATTCTTTAAATTAAAGTCCTGTAAATAAAACATTTAATAAACGACATGATTGAATTTGCAGATTGGAAAAAGATTTAAGAAAAGAAGAAAGAAGAAAGGATGAGGACAAAAGTGAGATGAGTGTAGAAGAATCAACTGATGAAGAAAATGAAAGAAAAGAGAAGGAAAAAAAGAAGAAAAGAGAAGGAAGAACATTAAAGGAGAGAAATAAAAAGTATGTATTTTTAAATATACAGGGTGTCCGTCGATTTTCGACCTTAATGAAATAAATAAGTAGATTGACTCGAATTAACAAGAAATGACCGGTATTGCTTTGGGATTGTCGCAATAATTAACGAAATATTAAATAAAAAAGATCAGCCAATCTGCGTGAGTAAAAGCGCGCGGCGACGAGAGTCGTCCTACCGTAATCCGATACTACGAACGCGGCGAAGCGGTGGGCGGGTCGCTCTCCGAGACATGATGGTGGTTTGCGATATATCGCAATACCGCGCCGAAAAATGACCCGTCCCCCCTTTTCGTGGCGAGAAAATGATGCGCTATCATTTCCACACCACCTTGCGGTAGATAGCATGGTGCGCTTTTTTTATAGTGGTTTCCCCCATAGGCCTATTCCACTCTCAATTTAAAAATTATTCAAAATGCCATTTACTATACGCTGAATATATCGTAAATGTAAAAAATTAATGGACAGTACCTTTACAAAAATTGATTCGTGGTTGAAAATTCCTCGATAAAATGTATTGCATACGTTGATAATGTGATACGATGATAAAATTCTTCAAGAATCCTTTCTTCATCTCGTACACGAAGACGCACTGCTGGACCGGTTATCCCGATATTATGCACGACACTCAGTTTCACATAATTATTGCACAACACGTAAAATTGTACGGCCACTTGGTTTTCGTGCACGCCCGAGAAATGATTCCATGTAAATTGCGGCCGCACGATAAGTATTTTCTCCCGCTAGTCCGTATGCCACAATCATATCCGTATATTCCTGCAAAGTACACTTCATTTTCACTGTTAATTTACTACGCAAACACAAGATTTTTATTAAAACGTCTTAGCTCTCGCACGCTGTTACCAGACTGCGTACGCCAGCAGCACGCAACTACAGCTGTGCGGACATGCGAGTGTAATCATAGTGCGCAGGCGTCGAACTCACACGTACGCTTACACTCACATGTCCGCTCAGCTGTCAGCTGTAGTTGCGTGCTGCTGGCATACGCAGTCTGGTAACAGCGTGCGAGAGCTAAGACGTTTTAATAAAAATCTTGTGTTTGCGTAGTAAATTAACAGTGAAAATGAAGTGTACTCTGCAAGAATATACGGATATGATTGTGGCATACGGACTAGCGGGAGAAAATACTTATCGTGCGGCCGCAATTTACATGGAATCATTTCTCGGGCGTGCACGAAAACCAAGTGGCCGTACAATTTTACGTGTTGTGCAATAATTATGTGAAACTGAGTGTCGTGCATAATATCGGGATAACCGGTCCAGCAGTGCATCTTCGTGTACGAGATAAAGAAAGGATTCTTGAAGAATTTTATCATCGTATCACATTATCAACGTGTGCAATACATTTTATCGAGGAATTTTCAACCACGAATCAATTTTTGTAAAGGTACTGTCCATTAATTTTTTACATTTACGATATATTCAGCGTATAGTAAATGGCATTTTGAATAATTTTTAAATTGAGAGTGGAATAGGCCTATGGGGGAAACCACTATAAAAAAAGCGCACCATGCTATCTACCGCAAGGTGGTGTGGAAATGATAGCGCATCATTTTCTCGCCACGAAAAGGGGGGACGGGTCATTTTTCGGCGCGGTATTGCGATATATCGCAAACCACCATCATGTCTCGGAGAGCGACCCGCCCACCGCTTCGCCGCGTTCGTAGTATCGGATTACGGTAGGACGACTCTCGTCGCCGCGCGCTTTTACTCACGCAGATTGGCCGATCTTTTTTATTTAATATTTCGTTAATTATTGCGACAATCCCAATGCAATACCGGTCATTTCTTGTTAATTCGAGTCAATCTACTTATTTATTCCATTAAGGTCGAAAATCGACGGACACCCTGTATACAAAAAGTTTTAAAATTATTTCTATTTTGTACATTTAATTTAATTTTTTAATTGCTACGTTTTCTGTGTTCATTAGTTATTATTCAACAAGAGCGAAAAGAGGAGGATGGAGAGGAGGATGGAGAGGAAACTGGAGAAGAGACGATACAGGAGACTGGAGAGGTGGATGGAGAGGTGGAAGATGGAGAGGAGGAAGAGGAGGATGGAGAGGAGGAAGAGGAGGATGGAGAGGACGAGGATCTGGCTCTGGATCTGGGCCAGTTTTTATTTTCAATTATTGTTGAGGAAATATAAAAAAATTAAAAAAAAATATATATAATAATAAATAATAATAAATATAATGATAATATATATGTATTAAAAAATAATAATATTAATAAAAAAACATATGAGATCTGACATGAAGATTTGAATATTAATTTTATTTATTATAATAAATAATATCTTTCCTCTCTTTCCTATATTCTTCCCTATTCCTATTTCTTTTGTTTGCCATTTTTCAAGGGTCATTATGTCTAAATATTTCTACGTTACCTACATGTCAAAATTCTCATGCAGCGCCTCACTGCTATAAATCGGTGAACTATAAGGCGTGAAAAATGGCCTCGTAAGCGAGAAATGACAGCCCAATTTACGTTGCGTCTCATTTCATAATTATTTGCTTTGTGCTAGTGTTGTGGTGTGCAATGTATTAAGAAAACTTGTAAAAATGGACGGATACTAAGCTGTATAAGGAACAAACTTTAGAAAGTAACATTTTCCTCTCCTTTCGACAGCTGTCAAATCGCGTGTTTTTTCAAGGCTTCATTTTGGACTCAATTTACGGCTATTTATAAAGTGTCAAAGGAAATGATTAGTATCCGTCCATTTTTACAGGTGTGCTAAAGAGATTGGTAGTCTTATTTCATTCAAATATGTTTTTATTTAGATGTCAGTCGCAATATAAATCTGGGTGTCCTTTCTCGCTTATGACGTCACGATTTCAAGATGGCCGCGGTGACTACTCCGGAGCCTTAAAGTCCTACAACTTTTGTTCGGAACATTTTTCAAGTAAATGCGTATTTTTCGAAATACCAGCCTGATACGGTCGCTCTGATACACCCTGTATAGGACTATAGGAATTTTTTGAAAAGCACTTTCATTTTATTAAAAGTTATTTATTCGTTTTTGTCATAAATTAACGATTACTTTTCTAAATGACGCAAAAAATTCTTATTTAATTCTTTCTTAAATGACGCAAAAAATTCTTATATTAATTTTTTAAAGGAAAAAATTCTTATATTAATTTTTTAAAAAATAATTTACTAATTCAATACTAATTTCTATATTTTGTAGTTTACTTTTTTTTTCTTTTTCCTTTATTTTCACATTAAATTGTTCTTTCTGATTTATTGAGATAATCCACTTAATCTTATATACGGGGTGTCTGCTAAACATGCGGCAAAAATTCAGGAGGTGATTTATTGGGTTATTTTAACACTTTTTTGTTATCTGATAATTTTCGAAAAAATGCTTTGTTTTGAAAATAAAAGCAATAAAAGTTTTTTGACCAATTTTTTATTCCATAGATAACAGGCGATAGGTTTTTTAACAAAATTATTGAAAATTACAAGAACTGTTCAAAATGACTACCACCAGCTAGGATGCAGGAATCTAATCTTCTCCTCATTGACAGCCGAACTCTTTCAAAAATACCTGGGTCATTTCTTATTTGCATCCATCATTTATACGATTTCTCAAATCTTCCACATTTTCCACTGGAGTAGTGTAAACTAATGACTTTAGATAACCCCATAGAAAATAATCCAGAGGGTTTAAGTCTGGGGATCGAGCAGGCCACAAGTGAGATCCACCCCGACCAATCCAGCGATCTCCATATGTTGCCGTTAAAAACTCCCGAGCAATCCTACTAAAATGCGCTGGTGCACCATCGTGCATAAACCACATTGCATTTCTGGTTGCTAATGGTACATCCTCTAGGAGTTCAGGTAGCGATTCTTCCAAAAAGTTTCGATAAACCGCGCCTGTAAGTCTTTCTGGTAGAAATACCGGTCTAATCAGCCAGTCACCCACAATTCCAATCCAAACGTTCAACGAAAACTGATGTTGAAAACGATCTTCACATACTTCATGTGGATTTTCTTCAGCCCATACATGGTTATTATGAACTTGCTTCATCAGTAAAAAGAATCAGCGACAGTAGTTGAAGGATTTGGACCAATGTTTGCAAAAACCATTGACAAAATGCAATACGTACATGAAAATCATTAGGAAGAAGTGCCTGAACACGTTGTATGTGGTGTGGGTACAACAAATTGTACTTCAAAATCTTCCACATAGTATTATGACTAACATTCAAAGCATTTCTAATTTTTCTTGTAGATGTATTTGGATTTTCTTCTATCATGTTCAGCACATTTTCTTCAAAATCTGCTATTCTTACTGTCACTTGTCTTCCTACTCCTCCACGTTTTTTCAATGAACCTGTTTCTCGAAGACGTTGATGAATTCTTTCGAAGGTTTTTCTATTAGGAACATTACGATTGGGAAATCGTTCAATGTACAATCGCCTAGCCCGTAACGAATTTCCATCGGCAAGACCATACATGAAATGCATGTCAGTCATCTCAGCGTTCGTATAGCGATTCATGAACACTAACAAAAGTTTAACTATCAGTGGCAAATAAACAAATTTTGTTATTGTTTTCAACATCTGTACTAGCTTGCTACGTTTATTTAGACTACGTTAATACTTGAAAAAAACCTGTATCGCCTGTTATCTATGGAATAAAAAATTGGTCAAAAAACTTTTATTGCTTTTATTTTCGAAACAAAGCATTTTTTCGAAAATCATCAAATAACAAAAAAGTCTTAAAATAACCCAATAAATCACCCCCTGAATTTTTGCCGCATATTTAGCAGACACCCTGTATAATTATGTTAATATGTACGATTTTAAAATCTCTAGAAAGCAATTTGAGCAAGCCAACATTTCTCAGAGCATTTGTACAATTCGACAGTCAATTCGCAGAAAAAGTAAACGACATTTTTGTGACTTTGAGGTAACAAATCTAAATTCTCAGTTTGTATTCTTTCATTTTTCTCTCTTTTTCTTAAATCTAACTACATAAATATATCAATATGTTAATTCTGTTACAATTTTCTTAAATATAAAATAGCTAAAATTAAATTTTTTTACAGATGGAACCAACCTGAATTTACCGATGAAATAATACAAGAGTACCAAGTGCAGTCTTCTATCTTCGAAGACTTTAAAAAAATCTACGACGATAAAAATATCACAACAAAATTGGAGCACACGGTGTACAATCTAATATCTAATACGACATATTATTTTCGAGTACGTGCGCATACTAAAATTGTTGCTGGTCCTTACACGGACTTAATCAATCTGTCGACTACACATGAAAATCCAATACCTAAATTATTACTCCCAACGAATCGAGGTATCCAAATATATGACGTGGATTTGAACATTACTAATTTCGTAACATCAAAGTATGTATATTGATAAAAAAATAGTTATAATTATCATAAATTATTTTTAACACTAACTCTAAAATTAAAGTTATTATTATTATGCACAAGTTTATTATTATCAACATTATAGTAGTAATAACTGTAAAATTAGAAATCTCAATTATAATTTTTTTACTATACAATAATATATAATTATAGTTGGCTCCTTCTTTCAGAGCAGTAATAAATGTCGCTTATTCGATACAAGACAATAAGATTTATTGGACTGACAAAAAAGACCTGATGACATTGAAGATTAGTGAAAATAAAACCACAAAAATAGCTAGCTTTGAGCATTATCTATATGATCTCTGCATTGACTGGGTAGCAAGAAATCTATATTTCACCTATGAAAAGTCAGCCTCTTATGTAAAGTTTGACTTACAAGGAAAGGGTCGGAAGTGTCCCCCTCCGATTTTAATGAGCTTTGAATATGTTGTAGTCTAGATCAAAATAGGAGACACGTATTTTTTTATAAGTGCTGAGTCGGCCGTTAAGGGGGTGAAACACCTTCTTGAAAAAAATCGATTTTTTCATTTCTCAGCGGATACCGTCGAAGCGATAAGAGATATAAACAAAAGTTTCAAATAAAAGTTTTATGGTCTTTAATGTACTTCAAAATCATGTAATCAGATTTGTCGAAAATGTCATATTTTTCGAAATCCCCCCCCTCCCTTTTAATGTTTGAAAATTTTTAAATTTGTCTCATAACAAAACTTATAGCTCATTTAACGACAAATTCAATCATATATAATAAAGTTGTATTCCGAAGTCACATTTTTCAGAAATAAATTAAAAATATCCCTATACACTACTATACGCCCGCTTTATCCGCCTTATGACGCTCGTTATTCACAGCGACAGTCATTTTTCTTCGCAAACTCACAGAGGCAACCATAAATTAGCAATAAATAATTTATGAGAATATATTTTTATAAATTATAGAAATTATATTTATAAATATAATTATAAATTATATAATAATTATAATTATAATATATGTCTATATTATGTGACAATAAATATACATATAATTTATATGGAAAAGTAATGTTTTTAATGCATGAAAAATAAAACTAGTCGGACAAGGAAAATTATTGATCAGATGCCGATGTTAATAGATTCAATTCTATGAATAAACAGATGTCGCATTCGCGAAATGAGTTGGTGCAATATATTATTTTATTAACAACTGCGTGCAGTGGAACACATATTACTATTAAAGCGTCTATCGAATATACGCGAGCGCGATAGTAAATATATTTATATATATAAGAAAATAATTAAAAGGATTATAACTTATAAAGCGAGCGAAAAAATGCGTCGCGATAAGAAAGTCAGCTGCCCGAAGTGCTGATACAGCCAGTATCACACGGCCAAGTCATCAAACAGAGGAAGAAATCACTCTCGAAATAGCGCTGAATTGCAATAAAATGCGAGGAAGTCTTCGGACTTCCTTCGCTTGCATTTTGATCACGCCACTTTAGAAATAACCAATGATTTTATTTGGTCATGCCACCGCGCGATCCTCCTCCGATAATCGTTCAGAACCGGAGGCGTTAAAAGCCACCGCCTAGAAGCGGCGGACAGTCACAAATCAGTTATCAAATAATTAACAAGTGCTCGAGTTAATTAACAAGACTAGCCGTTATCCTGAAAAAACAATTGTGCCCCACGCACACAACAATACAGTATGTATGTACTTTTTCGATTTTTAAAACTTTTATAGTTTTTTGCTTTTACTTACACTTCATTCAAAATTGCGGTTTATCTGTTTTGTTTTAATGTATTTAAATTATAATTAATATTTTATTACTTTATTTAAGTTATGTGATAAAACTGTTCTATTTTTCATGAAACTTGGAAAACGTAACAAATTATTAATACGCATTAAATAATAAAATATTTTTGTTGCTAATAAGTATTTTTTTGCTAATATTTATAAAACAAATATACATAATGTTAATAATTTTTTTAGATAATGTTTAATCCAAGAAATGTAGCAGTACTGCTATACACTGCACTGTATATGACTGGGGAATTCCCAGAAAGTCCTGTTACAACAGATGAAAATGAAACAAAAGACATGATGGAAAATATGCTTCGATCAATGTATGAAGAAGCGTTTGAAGTTTATGAAGAATCATCATTAGATTTTCAAAACGAATTTGATATACCTGAAGTAGAACCTGTAATTGATGAAGAAAGAGAAGAAGACACATATTTTGTAAAAGAAATTGAATGTGTTGCGGATTCTGTACCAATAGAATATAAAAGAAATGCAGTAGAGTTATGGAGAAGTGGAACAAAAAAGTCAAGAACTCTTGCATCTATAAGAAATAGATTTCGGAAAGTCACGTCATTACGTCAATTAAGAAGATGGGAGCAGCAAGTAAATCAAGGTGGCAACAGATTTGATAAACTGAAAGAAATTTCAACATATACGTTAAATAAATTCCATGAAGGTATTGAAAAGGGAATAATTATTCATGACATTGATATTGCTCGATGGGCTCTTCGCGCACAGAAGGAAGTAAATCTACTTGGGTTTACAGCATCATTATCATGGGTAAAAAGGTTTAAGCTTGCACATAATATCGTATCTAGAAAAATTACAAAATTTATAACAAAAAAAAATTTAGCGTCAGACAAAGATTTAGAAGCACGAAGCAAGTCATTTATCGAAAATGTTAAATCTTCTATTATACAATATGGAATTGAAAATGTATATAATTCGGACCAAAGTGGATTTCAATTAGAATTTCATTCCGGTCGTTCACTATCACCTATTGGTATTAAAAAAGTAGAGCGCATAGTACAATCCATATCAGCAACTACACATAGTTATACTATACAACCTATTGTTTCAGCTGATGGTAGATTATTATCGCCTCTGTTTATTGTTTTAAAAGAACCTACTGGAACATTTGGTCCAATAGTAAAAGAAACAATGTTTAAAGATAATAATATCTTTGTCATGGCATCAAAATCTGGAAAATTAACATCGCATCATTTTGAGATCTGGATAAAAGAAGTGTTTTTTCCAAATGTTGGACCAAAATCAGTGTTATTATTAGATTCTTGGACTGGTCATTGTCCTGATATAATTCAAAGAAACAAACCAGATTTTATAGACAATATTAATTTGTTAACTATACCAGCTGGAGCAACGGGAAAAATACAACCTTTAGATGTATTCGGTTTTCGTTTATGGAAAAATTTTGTTAGACATTTTTCAGATACCATCATGCTTTTAGATCTTGACGTCAAGCTTCATTCAAGAAACAATATTTTAAAATTACAATCATTAACACATAATCAATTTTCATCACCAAGGTTTAAAAATTTATTCAAATATGCATGGTATAAAAGTGGTTATTTAGAAAAGAAACCAGAAGAATTTGATACACCAGTAGATTTTTGTTATTCTTGTATGCAATAATTATGTACGGTATTTTATGTAATATTTCCATATACATATATATAATGACTTCGGAATACAACTTTATTATATATGATTGAATTTGTCGTTAAATGAGCTATAAGTTTTGTTATGAGACAAATTTAAAAATTTTCAAACATTAAAAGGGAGGGGGGGGATTTCGAAAAATATGACATTTTCGACAAATCTGATTACATGATTTTGAAGTACATTAAAGACCATAAAACTTTTATTTGAAACTTTTGTTTATATCTCTTATCGCTTCGACGGTATCCGCTGAGAAATGAAAAAATCGATTTTTTTCAAGAAGGTGTTTCACCCCCTTAACGGCCGACTCAGCACTTATAAAAAAATACGTGTCTCCTATTTTGATCTAGACTACAACATATTCAAAGCTCATTAAAATCGGAGGGGGACACTTCCGACCCTTTCCTTGTTAGCAATGTGGGAAAATAACATAATTAAATTTGATGAAATTTTCAAATCAAAAAATAATGACCGTTTAAATGTATTACCGTCTATAGGGTACGTTTACTGAAAACCGTTCATCTGAAAAAATAATTTTCCATTAAAAATTTATGAATATTTCTAATTTTTCTATAATTTTACGTGATTTCATAATTAAGATCATAAGTAAAAAAAAT